CTAAAGTTGTAGACTGAGCTCTACCATTACCACCTCCTTGACCTTGTCTAGAAAGACAATCCCTCAACCTGTGACAAGACATACCGCACCCAAAACATCCCTCTTTTCCTGCAAGACACTCGCTCAGATGGTTCTTACCACACATAGGGCAAGTTGGGTAAGTCTTGGTGCTTGAAACACTTCACTGAGATTTAGAACCTTGTGCACTACCCTTCTGGTTATACCTGTTCTTGGAGGATGGAACACTGGTTGATGAAAGGGTTGGAGCCGACAAATTCTTCTTACCCTACGAACAATTTCCACCACCCGATTTTTGCTGAGAATAGTCATAGTTCCTAGTCCTAGACTTCTAATTTTTCTTAGCATGTTCGCTAAGCTTATCACCCTCAACCTGCTGAGCATGCGTCATAAGTCTAGAGATGTTCATATCTCCAAGTAACATTGCAATTCTACACTCAGTTTTCACCAAATCTGACACTCCATACAAAAACCTATTCATCTGAGCCCTGGAGTCAGCATCCATGTGAGGAGCATACTTGGAGAGTTGGTTAAACTTGAGTCCATACTCTTGGACTGTCATATTACCCTATCGAGAAAAGTATCACTAAATCAGTCCCAAGTGATAGGAGCCGCATTTTCACCCCTATTCTCCTTCCACTTAGTGTACTAGATATGAGCTAAATCCTTCAACTAGTATGATGCTAACTACACCTGATCATTCTCAGTGACTTGCATTACCTCAAAGATTTTCTAGATCTCATCCAATAAATTTTAAGGATCCTTATTAGGTTTTGATCCTAAGAACTCAGGAGGATTCATCCTAACAAAGTCATGGACCCTTGCTACCACTGATCCACCATTTTTATTCACATGAGCATGAACCCGATTGTTCTAGTTAGTCATACTCTGAGTCAACATCTGTATGGCATTTGTGAATTCATCATTAGAGACTTCTTGATCTGGGACTAGAGGTCCTACGTTTGCATTCCTTGTGTTCACATTCCTAGCATTAGCTCTATGAGGAGACATGATCTGAAACGTAGAACGTCAAGTTAAAATGGAATAATATCATAACTCGCACACGATAAGAATACCAAGAAAGTGAAATTTTTCCTAAAATGGCCTCCATCTCATTAGATGTAGTGCACTTCACACCCATGAAAAGGACATTACTTATTGCTGCTTCTCATACATCCTAGGACACTTAAACCTAATGCTCTAATATCAAGTTTTGTCACGCCCCGAACTACCCTAGAGACACAGACACGGAACATAGAACCATTAGTTATCCCAAGCTAAACCTACTTGCATGATAATGAGCATGCTAAAGATAATAAGTGATGCGGAAGCTAAATCATAATTAAATCTGAAAAGATGGGGAATACTCATATTCTATAACTGAGATATTTGAAAACAATGAGTTTAATACAAAGGAAATTTTAACTCAATACTAAGCTTTATCTAACTATGGTAGATATAAGCCTCTAAACTGGACTAGAAATAATGGGACAAGCCCCATCTAAATCTAGCAAAAACTTAAACTAAATGACTAAAGACTAAAATGACACTCATGACTGTTGTCCTCGGAGAATGAGAACTCACCACTGAATCTGCTGAACTGGAGATTAGAAATCGATCTATGTGTGATCTGGATGCTGGGAACCTGAACCTACATCTTGAGAAGATATAACACATGTATGCGTCAGTACTTGAAAAGTACTGAGCATGTAGGATAGAGTAAAGCTGAAATAAAACATACTAAACAAGCATAAAAGCAAGTATAATAATCTGACATGATAAACTGAATTCTGAGAAAACTAATTGCAATGACCAATTTATAACATGTTAAAGCTGAATACTGAATATATTGATAAATGGTCAATGCAGAGAGTCTAACCGATCAGTGGGAGCTACTAAAAAGCAATAATTAAACCACATGAGCTAAATGTTGAGTCCGATGTATACGGCCTATCGAGAGGAACCAATATACCCTGCCAGAGGTATAAAGGCATGCTGGCGTGATCACTTAACTGATTGCCCACAGAGGGGACTTACAACCTACTTGGCTAGTAATTCTGGGACTATAGGGTAGGCTGAACCCTATTCTAACTCGGTAGTATGATACTCCCATGAATTATGTAATTAACTGATTATGACTGAGTTTTCTGTAAATACTAGATAGCTCAAAATTGAACATGCAAATTGGGAATGCAATTATTAATCTGGTAATGCAATAATTAATCCGGTAATTATGCATTTATTACTAAGGCATGTCTATCTGAAGTAACTAAAATATTTGACCTAGCATGTGTAATTTAAGAACTAAAAAGACATATAGCTAGGGTTCTGAAATTCATGAAGTTTTGTTAAAGTTCTAGAAACCCTGGATTTAATCATGATAAGGGAATCAAGAATCTGGCTGAACACTAGGGACCTAATGGGTAAAAGAAGCGTTGTAGTGAAATCCCACATACCTGGTGATGAAAACCGAGAAAAAATACTTAAATTTTGGGCCTGGAACTGCTGGAACTTGTTGCGTTCTTGAACTAGGGTTCTTGAGCTTTTTCTCCTTTCTTGCTTCTAATTTTTCTAATTTTTGATTTACTGATTTGACTTAGACATGTTTTAATTATGTTGACTAAAATCTAATTATTTAGGGTCAAAACGAAGTAACTTAAGGTTTAAACAAAGTGGGAAAAGACCAAAAGACCTCTGGGTAAGTTGATGTCGGACCAAACAACGGCTAGGATTGACGGTCCGTCATCTGACGACGTTCCGTCATTGGGTCCGTTGACTGGGATGGTTCGACAGACCTTTACTAAAAAGGGCATAACGTTTTACTCGGAGGTCTGATTTTAGTAAGGCCGGTGGCTATGGAAAGATGACTCAATTATCTATCTCTGGATAGGTTTTGAGACACCTAATGCATGTTGTGCTAAGAGGTATGACCATTTGAAAATGACCCAACTGCATTTCCCCTTAACTGTCTATAAATTATTCCCCTACGATTAGACCTACGGACCGTAGGTCCAGCTACAGATCGTGCTGGTCATCCGTAGATCTGGTCAGAGAGCGGGAAGATGAGGGTCTTGATCGAAGGTCACGGACTACAAACATCATCTAACCTACAGACCGTAAATCCGTGGGTAGTCCAAGGCTTAACCAATTTTTTCTGGGCTGAAATTTTTGAGAGTTTCTGATCCCATCGACGGTTGTGCAGGACGGACCGTGGGTTAGGCTACGGTCCTTCGATGCAACCGTTGGTTGCACCTACAGTTAATTTTTAGTAAAGCTGGTTTTTGGTCTATTTTGGCTACGGGGTGTTACATAAAGAGGACTCCTCTATAAATACAAATTTCTAAAATACAAAAAGTAAGGTAGACTCTCCACTTACAATATTAGAAGAACAAAAAACTAGTCCTACCTAATTATTGTGGCATTTGACAGAAACATAGACAATACATCAGTCATATTAATTTGATCATATTATGTCTCATGAACACTTTCAGGCATTGTATTTTGTCTAACCATATGTACGGTTAGCCTTTGAGAGATTGCACGTGAATTACAATAATTGTGATTTCCTTTAGTGTCACATCTGGGATGTACCCCCTAGACTAAGACTAGCCTTTTAGAATTCATCATTACTTAATAGGTTAAAATTGCAGAAAATTTAAAACTTTTCATCTATACTACTTCATGCGGCTTACTTAGACCTCTCGCTTACACATAATATATTCATATCGAGTATACAAAGACCCCTCGTATAAGAAGATTACATAGTCTTCTACTTTTATGGAACATATATATAAAATACATAATGTAATTCTTAAAACGGATGTTTCATATTAAATCATCTAAAGAAGAATATAACAATTGGGCATGTTTATACACTCAAACTTACTTTTCACATAAGAAGTAAAGTGGTTGTATCAAGTAAAGAACCCAACTAATGAGGTTGGGAGCGTTCCCACGAGGAAAATAGTTCAGACTTAACTTTAATTTATTATTACTATTATTTAGTCAATTATTTCCTTAGAAAACAATAGACAATAAAAGGGGAGTTTTTATTTCTAAATTAATGAAAATAACTAACTAAATTAGAGTAACCAACTAACAGAATCACATCTTGGAGTTTTATAAATTAATAAAAGTAACTAGGGTTTACGTGTTCCCCACATGTTCCTAACTTGATAATTCTAACTATAACAATTCTTTCCTAGTATCTTGCATGCAAAGTGATAAGTTATGTATTTCTAAATCCTTGGTCCGGCATCCAGAAAATTTCACTCTGCACCTTGGTCCGGCTACGTGTGTTGCTATACTAACCCTTATTTACCTCATATTAAGCACTGTATTCGATATTTGGCTAAGTTATTACCTTGTACCAATCGACACTAGCTGATCAGATAGTATACACTAAATCTATATTGATAATTCTTTTCCTATTATCTACCTCCTTGGTCTGAAAAGTAGCATTTACGTGAGTTCTAACGTTGGACATCCGTTAAAAAGAAATCTAAACGAAAAAATTATCAATACATGCAATAAACTATTGTGGAATTGTTATTTTAGTTAATTTTACCTCATTATTCACCTACCCATAGTAATAATCACAATATTCATATATTTAATATAAGAATTCATGCTCTTACTTTGATGAGAAAGAATAAAATCCAGAAATTCACTTGATTAATCAACAAAATCACCAACAATCAATTGCAGAAAAAGTGTCACAATCAAAAAGTCTAATATCAAAGATTTTTCTAACAAAGAGTCTAACACCAAAAAGTCTAACCCCCAAAACAAGGTTTTTCAAACTGTTTATAAAAAACAAAACCTAATAAAAGAAGGACTCTAATTACTGAAAATCCGTCAAAACGCGGCTGGGTCGACAGACCTCGTGATGGACCATCGTGGTCACGACGGGCCGTTATGGCCTCCGTCGTCCCATACTTTACAAATTCTTCTGTTGCTCTCTTCATTACCCTCAACGGCAGGTATGACGGACCGTTCCAAGCATGACGGTCTTTAGAGGGTCTCCGTTCCATAACACTTAAACTCCTTGGAAATTGGGTACTGCGCTACTCTCTGGTCATCGCGACGAACCAGTAGGACGGACCGTCGAGGCTATGACGGTCCGTCATGAACTTCCTTAATCCCACACTTGGTCAGACTTTCCCATCTTCCTTTAGCAGCTTCACTACGTTGCCACCTACGGACCGTCGCAAGCTTGACAGAACGTCATAAGCTGCGTAGGTAGTAACTTTTTTGCATTTGTTGCTCAAAAACTTCCGCGTTCATCTTTGGACAGATTTTCTGCAAATAAAGAGAAACTTACATAAAAATCAATACAAAAAGGCTTTTGGATACACACTAAACTTAAGGAAAAAATATTTAAAATGCCGTGAAACCACGGTATATCAACAGTCATACATTAATACAATAAAAGCCACATATAGGATACAATCATAGTACTCAAATGGAAGAGAATGAACAAAGTGTTATGACTAATCAACATCCAATGCTAGAAAGTGGCATTGTCCTCAAAGTGGTGAGGACCTACCCAACTTGGAGAATGAGAATCCAAGACTTCCTTCAAAAGTTGTCACGAAACCTTCAACGACCGGAACCTAAAATGTTCGGTAAAAAGGGAGAAAAGGGGTTAGCACATCACTTGTACTAAGTATGGGCACATATGCACACGCAACATAGAAATCATGCTAAAAAGGGATATTTCATTGAAGCATGCTAATTTACTTTGAAAAGACATCATGCACATTCAAGAACCAATGCCAATCAATGAGAACATATTCCTTAAGTCAAGACCATATAATCAAAAGACCAACAATACTAAGTCTAATAAAGTCAACATGAATATCAACATATTTGAGCACATAATCAAGACAATTCTATCAATAAGTTATAATACAACAAGCATGTATAAGTGTTCATAACATCATAACCAAAGAAACATCATTACTCATTAACCCTCATTAAGTCCACTAGTGCAATGACTAAGTAAGGCCCCATAACCTCACTCAACCAAGTAAACTCAACAAGGACTATAAGCAATGCCTAACTTTACACATCATATCTTTAAGAGTAGACATCATCATACTTTAGCAATAGACCAACCACATTTTCATAAGTGAAACCAATATCACATAATGTCATTAGCACGTTAGATCAACATATACATATCATTTACTTTTATTAGCATATAACCACATAAGAACTTCCTTCTATGACTTCCCTCAAGGCTAACTAGTGCAATATATAGGTAGAGTTCCCTACCCCTACCTAGACTAAGTCAAACCCCTTAGGTCATCCTAGTTATATTTCACTACATTACTTCATTTTACTTATATCGGAATATCTTGCCTTAACCGACATAGACCGCATGAGCTAATGTGGAATCCGGTGTCGTGGAACCCTACACCGAAAGAAGGCGGACTACTTGCCAAGGTAGTACCAAAACATAAAATAGCATCTATGTGGATCCACTAGCTAGTATTCCTATGGCGGAAACATAGTTCAAAAACTAGGAAATGAAGTGGGACCCTCTTTATGCTACATGCATTATAGTCTCCAATATCATGAGTACATTGGTGATCCTAACTCCCTTACTTCTAGTTCACCCGGGGCTAAGCTAGAGTCCTTTTGAAATATCTTTCATTAATAATCATAACTTAGTTTAGGTCATAGGGTCTACCCTTCATATAGTCATTATCATAGCTCAATAGGAATTGCATGAGCATAGTCCTTTCATTACAACTCACACATGTGAGCTTAGCACATTTACGTAATCACATTATGATAAAGCACATAGGTAAATTCATCACAACCCGTATGTCACTACATCTTAGCCAACAACTCACAAGTAATAATTCAAGACATTCCAATTCAACATCATACCAACCCTAATCAACCTTATCATGTGGTATACTTCAATGTAACTTCATCACTAAACACAAGTAAGTAATACACAAGTTTCACAAGCCATCATCCAAGGTTTTACCATCAACCATCCAATTAAACCCAACAATGGGTGTGAATACATCATTCAATGCTAATTAATACAATAACTAGGTCAATAACATCATCACTATCCCAATTAACTTAAATTCATAACCTAGGGTTGGGTAAAAGGGTTCATCATGAATTATTCAATAAATAGAGTCAATTCCAACAATACATTACCCTAGGCAGTCCATGAACGAATTAAATAGATAAAACAAACCTATCAATCAATACATTCTCCAATTCCCATCAATTTATAAGCAAGATCCAAGATTTGGGGAAATTGGGAAAAGGGACATGATTTATATGAAATTGCATCAATTAACATCAATTAACCAACATCCTACACTTAATTAGTCAAAGTCAATAATAATTTATCATCAATTTGAAGTTTAGAAGAAACCCCATTAGAATAGGAAAACCCTTGGAATTGGGCGTTTTAGAAATATACTTTGAAAGAACCTCTTGGTAAAAGGAATCCCAAGAGTGAAGAACTCATACCTTAATTAAGATTAATCCACGAAATTGAAGTGAAATCCTAGAGAAATTGGTCTTCTTCTTCAAGCTTTTTTGCTTCTTTAATGGAGGATTCAGGGAGAGAGAAAGTAGAGAGAGGTGAGAGCTTTTGGGTAATATTTTGGGAGTTTGATTTAGGTGAGTCAAAAATGACATAAATCTGACCCTTAGTCACTATATAGTCACCCCCTAAATTACCCAAAAGACCTTCACTTAAATGGGTCTTTTTGCTAGGTCAAAATGCTTAAGAAATCATTTCAATGAAGCTGGGGAAGTGGCTGCGCATCGTGGGGCTAATTTCATATTTTGTTTTTGAAATCCAATTTGACGCAGTGGACCACGTGGAGTGCATGCAACGCAAGGTAAATTTTCACCCCACGTGTCAGCTGCGCGTAGCGCAGTGACCTTTATTTCTAGGCTGCCGCAAGCTGCTTTGGCAGCGTGCTCACCAAGGTTTGGGTCCTCCTCCTGGATCCTTCAGGCGGTCCTTGGGGATTCGTTAGTGGAGGTTTGGACCCTTTGTACTGCATTCTACCTATTTAAAGTCTTCTTATAAGTTTCGGACTTCATATGACCCTCCCGAACCTTCACCAAACATAGGGACGTCAACTAGGTCGATTTAGCTAGTTTCCGGATTTCATGGGCGTTCCTTGACGTCTTAACTCTAAAACATCCTAAATGGTTTATAAACTATATTTAGGCTTAGAAAGAGTGTTTTAAGGTTTAGTTCATCACGTGAGTATCTAGGTTATGTCCTAGACCTTTAGGGTGTTACATTACTTTATCAACAGTTCAGCTGAAGAGAGTACCAAATGCACTTAAGTTCCAATCTGCAGAATATAACACAGCACTGACTTGTTGACAGATTCTGCTGTATTGGTTGCATCTGACAATGCACATTGGTTACCTGTAACTTGATCTTCCTGTACTTTAACATGGTTCCTGTACTAATATGTCAAGAAGGTTCTTGTAGTTCTTCTCAACTTCTTTCTTTTGAAATTGTGGACTCCCATTTTTTCTATCATATAGCTTGCCCTTACTGCATGGGGTAACTGATGAGGAGTGTAGTAATGTTGTATAATATCATATTTGTGACTTTGTTTGGACAAGAGATCTGCTGTGTTGTTGGCTTCCCTGTATGTGTGCACATATTGGAAATGTATACATCGTTAAGCCAAAGCCTGCAATTCCTGCACAAACCTGCAAAGTTTCCAAGGAGTAGAAACCTGCATAAACCACTTAATTAGAAGTTTAGAATCAACTTCTAAAATAATTTTATTGTGCCCATGCTGAATGCACCAATGCAACCCATAACTGGCAGCCTGAAGTTCTACCGGGTTATTGGTCCCTCTACCCAGAGGTATAGAAAATGCACAAACAATGGTCCCTTGGTCATCTCTCAGAATACCTCCCCCCCTAACCCCCCCCCCCCCTCGATCTGTTTAGTTTGAGTATATTAGGATGGGGTGATTTCCACTTAACTAAGGTTACTCTAATCTCATGCTTACAATTTTCCAATCTATCAACCACCTCTAACCATGTCAAAGGCCAATGCATGTAAGAAAAAACAGTATTAACTAGAAGAAAGATATATTTAATAATTAGGTACTCGACTCGAATGATGCTTGATTTCTTGCCTCCATATTTTACTGAGCATCAATTCTTCCATAACTTCCAACATATAATAAGAGGCAGTGTATGAATAATAGTAGTATGAGCTTCATTTTTTCCTGTAACATCTCCCCAGCTCAATAAGATACTGCTCAAAGAGGACTGCCACAGATTTACTCCCAGCTGCTGGAAAAATACTTCCAAATATGGACAACAAAGAGACCTTGTTTGAATATATGATCCGATACATCCCATCCTTGTTGGATACAACAATAACACTTTACAGACTCCACCTTAAAGGTTCACAGTTTTTAATTTGTTGGCAATTTCTTCCTTAATGCTCTCCACAAAAGAAAGGACATTTAAAAGGTACATGTCTATGCAAAATTAATGAATCGAGTCTTGTAAGGTTCCTGCAAAGTTCCTAAGCTGATGTACATGAAAAATGTCCAGATTCTGTAAGTTTCCAAACAGCAATGTCTTGTACTCCTTGATGATACTAAATTGTAGTTTGCAATATCTGCGGAATGAGCATGGGGTGAACCTGCTGCCTCAACATTGTGTCATTCCATGTACCATTAATATGAGAAATGGTATCATTATTAAGGCTAGAAACATTTGTGTATTTAGCCAAGGCATCTTCCCCTACCCAATCATCCCACCAAAAGGAACTATTGCCATAGTTGATTTTCCAAGAAATGTGTTCTTCGACTATATCTTTATTCTTCTTCATATATATCTCCACACTAATTATTCACTAGTGTCCACTTTTTTGGCTACTGGATTGGCCCTCTGACAATACTTCGCTTTCAGAAATTGAATCCATAATGAGGGTTTTTATCTAAAGATCCACTATTGTTTGAATTGAAGATATGAATATATCTGTTAAGTTTCTAACCCACACCTCCTTCAGAACAAGGCAAACTTAGGTATCTCAACACGCCCAATGATACTTCCCAAAAGAAATCTGCAATTAGTGACTCAATATACTTGATGGTAGTATTAGGAGGTGATATTGTAGCCATTGTGTTCACTGGAATAGATTGTAAAGCATTCTTGATCAATGTCATTTTACTCCCAAAGCTAAGCATTCTAGTTTGTCAACCACTAATCTTTTTGGAAATTTTCTCAACCAAATGGGAATATATGATCCTCTGTCTACCAATATACCGGGGCGCCCTAAATAAGTAATAGGACATTATTTGAGAAAAATCCGTGACCTCTATAATGGTATTGATGATATTTTGAGGGGTATTATCAAGCACCATAAAGTGACTTTTCTCTTTGTTTGATAAGCTGATCTGAAGCTTGTTCATATTTACCCAAAGTGTCCATAATAAGCTTCATAGAATGTCTATAAGTGGAAGTAAATATAATCACATCATCTGCAGAGCTTAAATGGTTAATCTGAGGACCTTTAGGCTCCATGTCAAAACCTTTATATAGAGGAATCTGAGGAATATGATTAAACATTCGTGAAAGAACCTCGCAACTAAAATAAATAGGGCTGGAGAAAGAGGGTGTTTTGGGATTGGGGTTTAGGATTTAGGGTTTAGGGTTTAGGGTTAGGGTTTAGTTTTTTTTTTTAATTTAAATTCACGATTTGGGGTTTAGGATTTGGTTTTTAATATCTATGGTTATTGTTTGATGTTTGGGTTTTGGTATTTTTTTTCAATAGAACGACACTTGTGGTGGGTCATGGGCTGAGCAACACCCCCATTCCTTATAAGTTATTAAAATAAGAAAGTACATAGAGGGGGGCATAAACCTTACCTCCGATCCTAATGTGGGTTATGAGTCGACCAACCTCTGGAGGAATCCTCCTTAATACATAGTATACTACGAATACATAAACGAGGGAGACTCTCCCCTTTACAAGAAAAGTCTATAAAAGTATAAGAACCTATTATAATAACTATATCAAAATTATACATAGTCATTACGACTAGGATGTCTAACAATATGTATCTTACACATTATACAACATGTAAAATATAAGGAATTTGATAAAAGATTACTATAAAGCTTAAACAAATCATTCATCACAAGCCTCTACTTCTAGGTCTTATGATTGGTCTGTTAGTGTTTACAGACCGAAGATTATGTCTAGTTGCTTCCTTCCTTGTGGTGACAGCCCTTGTTTGTCTTTAACTTCTTGTATTTCTTCTTCCTAATTAGTGTGAAAGGTGGATTTAACATCTTCTTCATCTTCATTACTGTATAGGGATGGAGTATCTTCATCATACTCATCCTCAGACGCTATATGGCTGTATTCATCCACCTTCTCATTATGTTGTTGTTGCTTTTGATGATCCGCTTCACTTGCCTGCTTCTTCTGTTGTTTTTTTCTTGATGTTATCCCTTCTTTTTTTACTCAACCTTGCCTTAGATTTATTGTTACTGTTTTGTGGAGATTCTGCTTATTCTTGAATTCTTGGACTGTTTGTTCTTTCCTCTTCTTGTTGAGTTTCTTTATATTATTGAGGACTTGTGCTTTGTGCTACAAAATTCATAATCTGCACTGTGATCGACCAAACCTTTGCCTTTCTTTCCCTTGCACACCACTCTCTGCATTTTCTCCCTCTTCTGGTATAATATATTCATTTTGAACTTTACCTTTGTGAATTTGTGCATGGACTTCGTGTCCTGTTTAATATAATTGCTGATTTGCCTGGCATGGTAGCTCTACATACAAATCTGTGTAGACTGGTTGCTCTATTACAGTATCTACACTTTCAATTTTATCTACTTTTTGATATTGTGCATGGCTTGCATGGCAGGTTGGTTGTTGATTCTGAATTGTACCACCTGTGGGAACACAAACATTATACAATTTACTAATAACCTGTTGAATAGGGATTACTAGCCTTTTGGATTGTTTGGTCATCCTGTATTTCAATTCCTGGTTCTTGTGCTGTATTGACAGCCTCTATCACTGTCTTATCGCTATTATCCTGGTCATTCATTTCCTTACCTTGCATATCTAAATCATTAAGTGAATTATAAGTAGGAATGGTTAATGTAATATCTGCCAGACTGGTTTGATTTGTTATCAAGCTTTCTTGTGTTTGAAGTTCTCTTGGTTTCCAGGCAGTCTTGGGTTGAGGTTGTGTTTGATGTTGAGTTTGTTTCTTCTTCTATGTTTGCCATTGGTCGCCATGATCTTGTATTTCTTTCCTTTGCTGTACAATAGGTATATCTTTTGATACAATCTGAAGTTGCTGCTCTTGTACACATGCATTGTCATTTCCAGATTCTCCTAATGCTTTTCTTTTCTTTTTTTCCAGGTCTTTTCTTTTATAGAATTCCTCATCCCTAGATTTGATTGTGCAGTCTTGTATCACATGCCCTTGATGCTTACAGTAATGGCAATATTAAGGTACATTTTCATATTCTATAGTTTGCCATTTACCTTTATTCATGTCTTCTTCCTCATAACCAAACAAAAGGTGCTGAGGTCTATCTTTTGTAAGATCAAGTCGGATTCTAACTTTAGCTATACTACCCCTTGTTTGATTGATAGTTGCATAGTCTAAATATAAAACCTCACAAACAGGGGATAATAAAGCAGTTAGAATACCTTAATGATAATAATGTCATGGTAGTTCCGGAAAAGATATCCAAACAGGGACTATTGGAGTTTCCACTATAGGTCTGAAAATTGGTGTCCCAGCATGAACCGTCATAGGCTGCTCTTCAATATATATTCTCTGCTTAGTCCACACTGTAACATAGTCTAATTCATTGTCTAAATCAATGTAAACATATCTAGAATTAAAGTGAGCAATCTTGACACCTCCAAATAATTGAGTTTGATTAATAAAATTGTTCCGAATTAACTCCAATTTAGGCATGGTACTTCTAAACTTGTCTATTAGAGTGTATTTACATCTATCAGTCCATTTAACCAAGAAGTCATCTTCTTTAAAGATTACAGCTGGTCAATCTTGTTTAGTAGTAATCATAGGAGTGTCAAACGTAATTGGAGCAACAATTTTTTTCTAAATTAGTCGAAGTCTTGCAGATAAGATTGGATCACAGTATAGGGAGCAGGTTCATGAGTACCATCCTTTCCTTGTTGTCCGTTACCTTCTCTGACATTCCCATTGTCCTAACAAGTCCTAATCTGTTGATTCTGATTATTATGCCTAACAAAATTATTAGAAATCTGAGGAAATTGGTTATGTTGAGAGAATTCT